ATTAACGAAGTTTACTTACCCAATTTTAGGTCAAATTTAGGTTTGAGAAAGGTAGATCAAAAAAACTTAGCACCGCAAACAATTTCATTTCACCGAACACCGCAGCCTGAAAAACACAAACATCGCACACCGTAGGGTTTGAGATCACCGCAACACCGCAAATTGAGATTTTATTCACCGCATCACCGCATTGAAAAAAACATCAACACCGCAACACCGCAAATCCCCATGTCCCCCTCTATAATGGAAAGAGCGAATGGTGTTTTCTCGCCACATGTAAAGGAATCCAAGAGAGTCTTGGATTGCGGATTCCCAAGCGTTGGATTCAACTGTTTGGCTAGAGTAATGCTATTAACGTTTATCAAGGAGCGTTGTGATGGAAACCTGAACATTTCGGCGTGCAATGTCGATACAATGGATACGCCATTGTTTGTGTGAATTTTACCAAGTGTGGTGACTGAGTTGTCTCTGTCACCTCTACTACGGTCGATATTCGCACGTTCATTTGTTAAGTGCACTTCGTGCTCTCAGGGCAAACTTTAATGAGAGAAAAATGGTTAAATAACGAAGAAAACTCAAGGTGCAGAAACTGGAGTTAGGATAGCCTGCGTAGCTTGGCGGTTTTGAAGCAATTAAGCGCTAAGAAAGCGGCGAAGCCGCGATAACGAGCGCCACACAGCAGCCTGGGAGAAAGACAACTGAGAAACCGCCTGCACGGATGACCGGCATTTTTTGTTAGTCCAGTACGCTGGCGCACGGACCATTGCCATTGGATCAGAAGACTAACACATCAATCAATTATCGTCTCGATTCCTCCCTTGACCTTTGCCCTTCGCCGCCATCGAGCACCACATCGGATAGTTTTGTTTTGACCGGTGTTTTGATAGACTCTACAGTATCACAGTGACTTCTCCCTGCCAAGTTGGCTGGAAGTTTCCTATTACGATCTATGCTCTGATCAGCTGTGTTAATACGATTCACAAAACCTGTCATCGGGTTGTCCAATTATGTAATAGGGGGCGGCAATAAAAAATGCGGGTAATCCAGGCAGGCGGTTCCTCGCGGTTTCGCCGCTCGTTTTCGCGGCTTCGCCGCTTTGTGCGCTCCCCCGGGGAGGGGTACTCCCTTATATGGGCTATATAGGTATGTGCAGCCCCAAAGGGTAGGGTTCTTCAGCCGTTTTGGTCATAAATAGGGTATCGATTTTGGCCATTTTGGTTTTAAATAGGGTATGTTTCTTAGAAGAAGCTACCTTTTCATCTTTATCGATAAAACCGTCAAAAAAAGCCCCTCATAACTTTTGTTTGGGGCAACTGTGTCAGCCGCAACGGTCAACAATAGGCTATCGAATTTTTGGACAGGTCATAAATGAGGTAGCAAAAAACGCAGATTTTGGTCATAAATAGGGTAAGGGCTTTGGGAAGAGGGCCGCACACCCCCACCCAACGTTTCTGGAAGTACCCCACCCCCGGGGTGTGCTTGAGTTCAAATCGCTTAAACTGCTTTGTGCGCTCGCACTCAAATTGTTTAAAAAATTGCTTAAGCCGCCAAGCTACGCAGGCTGGAGTTAGGAGAGAACACTAGTCACTGATATGATGTGAAATGACACCAGAGATATCATATGATGTGTTGTCCTGTTTGTTTTCAGCAACGCGCCCTCATTCCGTTGCGTTAGCAACCAATGACTCCCCTGCTGGCCTAGCTGCATACATAGTGGAGAAGTTTGCAATGTGGAGTGGCTGTAATTTGACTAGTGACACTGCATTCTGTTTGGAATCCTGCTTTACAAAGGATGAACTGTTGACAAATGTGATGATCTACTGGATAACACATTCAATTGCTTCTTCAATGAGGCTCTATTATGAAGCTATGCACAGACATGAACTTCGTTCTGCATTAAGGTGAAAACTGAAATTTTCTCTATTAAAATAGCGTTAGTTTTTGTTGGGACTAGGTATTCTTCGAGTTGGTGTTACGAGTTGCGTGTAGGAAGTGTCGAACCTTGAGATGTGAGTTTCTACGTTCGTTGATCAACACTGGATTTACTGCATGTTGAATTTGGCAACATGTCTGGCTTTACTCAAATGCTAATAGCAAAACTATCCGTGGAAAAAAATTGCGTGTAGCTGAACCAAACAAACCAGCGTAAAATATGATTTCTTCAAACAAACTGTTCTCGAAAATTTGGTGAAGCCTGTGTTGAGGTCTGGTCAAACGCATGTAACATCTTGAGATAACGTATTGCAGCACTGTTGCTCATAACTTGTTGCCTACGTTTGGCACCCTGTTACACTATATCTTGCAACATATTGCAACAGGCTGGTCAAACGCGTGCAACATGCTATGCGCAACAATTTTGCAATGTCTGCAATCTGTTGCGTTGAAATGTTGAGTTTGTTTGGCCGGGCATGCATGTGCAGCTTGTGCACCCGGTTACCGAACGTAATTGGTTAGTAGAGCCGCATTCCAACGGAAGCGGCTTCCAGTATTTTCCACAGCTCATGAAACTGCAACACGGTACGCTTGTACGTGCTACGCATCTTGATCTGGATTCGAATATAATAACTACAGCGCATTGTGGAGGCTGAATAGTGGCACGAGACTGGCCCTGGGCTTTCTCCTTATGCTCGATAACAATTCATTTGAAAATGCGCTGTCTTTGTTATCGATATGCTTCTTTAAATGGAGGCTTGTTGTTAGGATTATATTTGTTACAATGTTCACCAAATCACCTAACGTTTTCTTACTCTTCAGGGTGAATCTTCACTCTAAAGATGACTAAAAATTACTAAATAGTGTCCTTGTCGTGTGCCACTTACATGCGTTGGAGCTTTTCAACGTAGCAGCCTTGACATTGCTGATGGTCTTTGGCAAGGCACTCTGATCACAGTCTCTTGTCTCTAGCTATAGACTGGGAATAATTGGGTATTTTTGAAGAGTGGTCGCGTACCAGAGGTTGCCGGCTGACACACAGGGTGGTTTAGGTTTGCTTGAAACGTCGGTATTTGTGGTCCGTTATTGATGTTTTCTTTTGTTGTTTATAGGATTCCCATTACGGTTCCAGTAGGATTTGCTGACTTTCCACATGAACTTTTTCCCGTCCCAGAACCCTGGATTCACAATTCATTCCTTGATGTGGTTCAGTACACAGAGATGCCTCGCGGTGGGCACTTTGCTGCCTTTGAAGAACCTGAGATCTTTAGTAACGATGTCATTCAGTTTGTTGAAAAGGTAGAAAAGCGCATTGCAGCAAAAAAACAAGAGCAGCCATTGAAGCAAGCTACAAGTCATTAAAGAGTCAACAAGGAAACAATCCTGAGCTGCCTATTGTGATTTTTATTACCTGTATAGTTACATGACATTACTGAGTCTCTGAATTTGCTACACTTACCATTCATTCTGTATAATGTTCTCTTGAGAATATATTTGCAGAAAATCGCTTCGGCTTTCATTGAAACAGTGAAATTTCAGGCTTGTGTAGGAGTAAATCCTAGATTATCTTTAGTTCCTACAATGATCAACTCTAATAAAGTCCTACTGAAAAGAAATTTTTATGTCCTGTTTTGTTTGCCCAATTTTATGCTTTCAAACAACAATAACAACAACAAGCTTTATTAACAGATTAATAGTTTAAAAACAACATGCCCATAATTATGTCACTCTGCCGTGAGGGTTTTGGACCTATCCTTCCTGAATAAACTGACCCTGTCCGTCTGGCGAATGATTTTGGAGAGTTTTTCATCAAGAAGATTAATTTGACTATGGAGAACATTGATGGTATTTGCGTTGAGGCTCCTTCACGTGTTGATCGCCCAAGTCCTTCAGTCAAATTGGAACAATTCACTGCGCTGTCTAAAAACAAAGTTATGCAGTTAATTGAAAGATCCTCTGACGCGACCTGTAAGCTTGATCCTCTACCGACGTGGCTTTTGAAATCGTGTATTGACGCTTTTGCTGCTATGATCACAGCTATTGTTAATTATTCTTTATCTGAGGGGTATTTCCCTGATCAGTGGAAGACCGCCCAAGTGATTCCTTTGCAGAAGAAGAAAGGATCCGATTTTGACTTTAAGAGCTACAGACCAGCGAGTAACCTTCCGTTTATTTCAAAGATTATCGAGAAGGCTGTTGTCGATCAATTTCTTTGTCACTGTGATGAAAATGCATTGTTACCTGATTACCAGTCTGCATATCGCCGGTTTTCTTCCACTGAATCTGTGCTTCTTAAAGTTCAAAGCGATATTTTGTTGAATATGGATAAACAGGAAGTTACGCTTCTTGTACTTTTGGGTCTTAGTGCCGCCTTCGATACAGTCAATCACTCTCTTCTCTTGAATATCTTGGGAAATGGCTTTGGCGTTACGGACAGTGCTCTTAAGTGATTTCAGTCATACTTATCTGGAAGGAAACAACGTATCCTTATCGACAATAGTCTATCAGATGTATTTAACTTGACTTGTGGAGTGCCTCAAGGTAGTTACTTGGGTCCAGTTTTATTTCTCCTTTATGCGTCTAAGTTATTTGATGTTGTTAAAAACCACTTTCCCTCCGCCCACGCCTTCGCGGATGACACTAAGATCTACTTCTCGTTCAAACCAGATTCGCAGCACAGCCAGGACAGGGCAGTTCATGTTATCGAAAAGTGCATTGCTGATATTCGTACATGGATGGTCACTCATCGTCTTATGATAAACGATTCTAAAACTGAATTCTTGATTATTGGCTCTCGTGGTCAACTTTCGAAGATAAATGTAAATTCCATCACGGTTGGTGACTCATCTATCGAGCCTGTTAAGAGTGTTAGAAATCTAGGATCTTGGTTCGATGAGCATATGGCAATGGATATTCTTATTGGGAACATTTGCAGCAAAGCTTTTAAGGGTCTCTACAACATCAGGCAACGTAGGAAGTTCATTTCAACTGAGGCTTCTAAAATTTTAGTTCACGCCTTTGTGACGTTGCACCTAGATTACTGTAACTCACTGCTCTCTGGAGTGCCACAATATCAACTGAACCGCCTACAAAAAATTCTTAATATTGCAGCAAGACTTGTATGCCTAGTACCTAAATTTGATCATATCACCCACTACTTAATTGACCTTCATTGGCTACCTGTTGCGTTTCGAATAAAGTTTAAGGTTTTAATATTTGTGTTCAAGGCGTTAAACGGTGTGGCTCCTCGTTATATCTCAGATCTTATCAGGAAAAAGTCAGATGGCGCCAAACATTTACTAGTTTAAAAAACAGCCGGCTAAAAACATATTTGTTCAGGAAAGACTATAACATTCAGTAATAAGTTTTATTACTTTTATCTATTTTTTTTATTTGTAACGCTACTTTTTATATTTTAAATTTTTATAAATATGTATATTTAATATTTTTATATTTTAAAATGTAAAGTGCTTATGAATATTTTATATAATTAGCGCTATATAAATTTAATTGAAACAAAACACAAAC